ACTTCCAGGACAAAAACAATAGGAACTGTTTCCCTTTTGAGTGCCTTCTACAATCCAGGCATCTCAATCAGGGCTCCTCATCTAAACCACAGAACAGATAGCAATTTGGGTGACAGTTTTCTCAATGCTTCCATATGAGAACTTAGATGACACAAGCTGGTTCCATTGTAGACACACAAGAGAGAAGCAAATTCATTACATGCAACGGATGCCTAAGGACAGGGTTTATTCTCTTGTGTGACCCAGACTGCAAAAGATTGTTATATACATGGTAATAAATGTAACATCTGTGGTAGTTCAACAGGTGAAGAAGATTAGCAAGAATGAAAACAATATTTGTCTTGCAGAAAATTTAAACTACATTTTAATTATTATTATTTACATTTTATTTTAGTGAAACTTACACCCAATCTGTAACTCACAGGATAATTATACACTTAATAGTTCAGCCTCAAAATTCATTTGAGTTTTGACTCATGCCTGTAATCCCAGCTACTCAGGAGGCTGAGGCGGGCGAATCACTCGAACCCAGGAGGCAGAGTTTGCAGTGAGCCAAGATCATGCCACTGCACTCTAGCCTGGCAACAGTATGAGACTCTACCTCAAAAAAAAAAAAAAAAAAAAAAAAGACTTGTTTTTATTGCAAGAATTAAAGCAAAATAACAAATTTATTTTTTAAAAGCTGTTATAATACATTATCATTTCTAATCTTGACAACTCTGAGTTAGGTTTAAGAAGTCCCATTTTACAGATGAGGAAATAGATGCTGAGAAAAGTAACATGGTCAAGTCATACAATGGATTGGATCAAGGCTGCTACCAAAGACCGGGCCTTCCTGACTCTTAGCCCCTGCTCTAAATCATTCTGTTACAGTGCCTCCTTCAGAAATTATACATGGAACTAATCAGTAAGACAGTGATTTTTATTTTTATTTATTTTTTTATTTTTTTGTGAGACGGAGTCTCACTCTGTCACCAGGCTGGAGTGCACTGGCATGATGTGCACTCTGCACAGAGGCTCACTGCAACCTCTGCCTCCTGGGTTCAAGCGATTCTCCTGCCTCAGCCTCCTGAGTAGCCGGGACTACAGGCACCCGCCACCATGCCCAGCTAATTTTTGTATTTTTAGTACAGATGGGGTTCCACCATGTTGGCCAGGATGGACTTGATCCCTTGACCTCGTGATCCACCCACCTCGGCCTCCCAAACTGCTGGCATTACAGGCGTCAGCCACCGTGCCTGGCCAGGACAGTGATTATTAAATAACATGTACTATAAAATTAAAAAAAAAAAAATCATCACCTATCCCACCACCCAGAGATAACTACTTCTGCTACATTTCAGGTCATATGTTTGTAGACATACCAAACTGCAACACTATAAATAAGCATTACTGAAGGCAGGGGCAGCCTGTCTGGAGCAGCTGCTGGTTGCAGTGGGGGAGGCACAGCCAGGCTGCATGCAGAGCTGAGCAGAGAACAAGTGGGAGCCCTGCCTGCTACCAAGTTGGCAGGGTGGGAGCCCCATGCTCCAGGCACAGCTGCAGCCAGCGGAGGCTCCTAACCCAGGCATTCCTGCACTCTCAGGGGCCCAGGAAGCCCCCTCTTCTCCCGCAGGCTAGGAAGTGCCTGCTCCCACTCCCTGGCCTTTTCCTGCTCCTTGCACCTGCTCTGGTGCAGAGAAAAGTTGTGGCTGAGCCTGGGCACTATCATGACCCAGTCGGGTGTGCACAGGCTCGGGGCAGTGTTCACACACCAGCCACCTGCCACCTCAGTCCCCTCTGGACTTTGGGTGCTGGTGAGCGTGACAGAGAGGCCAGCAGGGGTGAAGGCAGCTCAAAGTGGGCCTGCAGGCACCCCTCAGGCCAAACAGTGTAGGCACTGTGGATGGCATGTTGATGGAGGGAGGCAGACATAGGTTCCTGCCCAGAAAGGGGTTGGTCCCAGGTGAAACCCCACCTTCAAGCCAGAGACGGCTTAAAGCCTGGGGTCCAGACTGTGGATTCCAGGTGGAGTCCACTGGCTGGAGTAAGAGCTTAAGCAGTGCTTTTTCCAGGCCGTCCATGGCCTCCCAGGTACCAATCAGCACACACTTCCTCCATTCTGAGCCCATAAAAATCCCGGACTCAGCCATACACACAGATGTCCAGACTACCAGCTGCAGGAAGGAGCTGCCCACTTCGGGTCTCCTCATCAGAAGACCCTCCTGTGAAAAGGAGCTACCCACTTCAGGTCTCCTGACAGCTCTTCCGTTGCTCAACGAAGCTGCTCTCTGCCTTGCTTACCCTCCAGTTGTCCACGTACCTCATTCTTCCTAGACATGGGACTCCTGAATGGTGGGACTGAAAAAGCCGTAACACAAACAGGACCAAAACATGCCCTCTGCTCACCAGGTTGCAGGCAACAAGGAGGGAAGGGCTGTGGCCCTTTAGGGAAACTAGGCCTAGGGGCTCTCCGAGCCAGAGCTGTGACACCTTCTCTGGGGCTCTGCAGCTCCTGGCATCTCCAAGCTTGCAGGCATCACCACATTCCCCGGTGCCCACAGTGGAAGCTGCTTGTGGTACGCCTGGTTCAGCCACAGCCTCCCACAGAGCCAGTGCCTGTACTGGTGCCTGGAGCTGCCTGCCCTGCCATGGCTGGCACACCTGGCTGTGCACAGTGGCTGGACCCCACACACGCTCACACACCACTCACCGCTCCACACCTGGCTCACCCTTGGCAGGCACAGGATTTTGGCTAGTAACGCAAACCGTGTGCAGCCTGCCAGGCCAAGAGGGTGGAACAAGCCCAGCAGGTCCGGAGAAAACTCAGACAAAAGCGTCACCAGCCACAGAGGTTTTCAGGTGGAAAAGCAACACCCCAAGGATCCCATGACATTATAATTTTTTATAATTTTAAAAATAATTTTTCTAATATTTCTAGCAATTTTTTCTAATATTTCATGAGTATTCTTCTTAAAAATATTCTTCAAAATTATAACTTCATGGTGGCATAATTTCCCACTTAAGGAAATACTTCCTCAACGAAAGCATTTAAGTTATTGGAAGTTTTCCCACCATTATAAAAAACACTGTGATAAATGATGAACATTATGCAAATATTTGCCTCTCTAATTTTTTGGATAGATTCTTGGGAATTAAAATAATAGGTTAAAACCTTAAAAATGTAAACTTCTCAAATAATACCAAATTGCTTGCTACAAAGGTTACACCAAGTTAGACTTCTGCCAGAAGCACGTGAATTTCTTTGAGTTTAAAAAAAAAAGCCCAAGCACAGTGGCTCACGCCTGTAACCCCAACACTTTGCGAGGCCAAAGCAGGTGGATTGCCTGAAGCCAGGAGTTCAGCCTGGCCAACATGTTGAAACCCTGTCTCTACTAAAAATACACAAAAAATTAGCTGGGTGTGGTGGTGCATGCCTGTAAACCCAGCTTCTTGGGAGGCTGAGGCATGAAAACTGCTTGAACCAGGAGGGGAGGCTGCAGTGAACAGATCACACCACTGCACTCCACTCCAGCCTGGGTGACAGAGCAAGACTCTGTCTCAAAAACAAAAAAAAAATTTAATAATTTTGATTTAAAAATTTAGAATTTAACTAACTTTGCTAATTTGATGGCATCCATTGCCTAACATGATGTTTATTTCCATTCTATTGCTGGTAAGACTAAAAACTTAATTATAACATTGGCTGCTTATGGCCAGGCATGGTGGCTCATGCCTGTAATCCTAGCACTTTGGGAGGCCGAGGCAGGTGGATCACTTGAGGTCAGGAGTTTGAGAACAGCCTGGCCAACATGGAGAAACCCCGTCTCTACTAAAAATACAAAAATTAGCTGGGCGTGGTGGCATACACCTGTAATCACAGCTACTTGGGAGGCTGAGGCACAAGAATCGCTCAAATCCGGGAAGTGGAGGTTGCTGTGAGCCGAGATTACATCACTGCACTCCACTCCAGCCTGGGTGACAGAGCAAGACTCTGACTCAAAAAAAAAAAAAGAAAAAGAAAAGAAAAAATTGGCTGCTTATATGTCAAGACATCTTCTATGATTTTCTTGTTCGTGCCTCGTAACAATTTTTCTTTATATCCCTCATTGACTTATGAGTTCCTTTCATATTAAGGACTTCAACTCTTTTGACATGTTTGTAAATATTTTCACAGTTTTTAATTTTTATATCTTTTGCTTACAAAGTTGTTCATTAGTATCAGTTACTGTATTTACTGATTTCATCTGTTAGTTGTTAACTATTTAACCCTAACACCAGTGGGATAAAGATACCCTGATTTCTTTCCAAATGGCGAGCCAGAATTTCTCTATCAGGCAGGCCACGTCTCATCATCTGCCAACACAGACGAACCTGCTAAGGAAAGAATTCCAGCTAACCAGAACCTTCCCACCCTGACCTCAGACAAACCACAGTTGTAGGACTTATCCCTTGGGTACCAAATAAGCTTTAGGAATAGGGAAGAGGAAGGGAAAAACAGAGTTAAAGCAGTCAGGGAGAGTCGTGTAGAAGAAGTGGCACATCAGGCATAAGGACAGCAGCAAGAAAAATACAGCAGAAAAAAAGTACAAGATTTGTTCTGGGATTTGTCCCATCATTGGAGAAACACATATCAAGTACTTGCCAGGAACCAGACACTGTATCATGTTAAGATGATACAAAAATAAAGAAGCAAACAGTATAGATAACAGACAACCAGTAGGTACACTGAAGATATGAATTGATAAAGCTGGAAAAGTAAACTAAGGCCAACTGTGGAAAAACATGCATAAACAGTAATGAGCCTGGCTGGGCATAGTGGCTCAAGCCTGTAATCCCAGCACTTTGGGAGGCCAAGGTGGGTGGATCATGAGGTCAGGAGTGACCAGCCTGACCAACATGGTGAAACCCTGTCTCTAATAAAAATACAAAAATTAGCTGAGCGTGGTGGCAATGCCTGTAATCCCAGCCACTCAGGAGGCTAAGACTCACTTCAACCCAGGAGGCGGATGTTGCAGTGAGCCAAGATCATGCCACTGTACTCCAGCCTGGGCGACAGAATGACACTCCATCTCAAAAAAAAACAGTAATGAGCCCGAGCTTCCTGGAGACTATGACAAGCAGATAATAACATAAGTAAAACAAGATTACAGCTAGGGATTACGTCACGAGGTTGATAAGGAACCCTTACCCAAAAGTTAAATCGTGTTTTCAATCGTTTAGAAGGTCCATCATAAGAGATATTTTGACATCACTACCTAGTGAACACACACATGTGTGTAGGTACCAGAAACAAAGTTTCATGAAATAGTATTTGAAAAGAGGTGGAGAATGGGAGTAAGACACCCACTTGGGTTACTGCAAAAGTCTTGGCTTGAAATGACATTAAAGGTCACGGAGAAAAGAACTCGAGAAAAAAAAAAAAGGAAAAATAACAAAAAGAGATTGAAAAAAAAGAAAAGAGCTTATGGAGTGAGTCAGTAGTGGGTGAAGAATGCACAGGAGGAGATGAACATGAAACTCCTCAAAAGAAGCTATGTGAATGACAGGAAGAGGGCAAATCAAAGATGACACTGAGACACCTATTCTGTCCTGAGTGGGAAAGGATGAGGACATGAGTGACAAGAGCAAGAGGGAGCACGGCAGTAAGGACAGGGTATACGGCAGCCAAAAGGAAGGGCCGGAGAGAATCTTCTTATTCAATACCCTTTTCCATCTTTGGCACATGAACCATGCAAATGCATCACCCATTCAAGAAAATGAGATTTTAACTTAAAAAAAAATCTAGAAAAATGTCTGTGTTGTGGTCTAATGATTAAAAAACAACAGTCATTAATAGTCCAGAATGAAAACCAGTTAAACCCATTAAGAATGAGTTCAAGACTTCCACTCAAGCTGGGCGTTTGGTTAGTGGGGACCCACGAGGGTTCAACATGCGTATCGAGAAGTGTTATTTCTGTTCGGTGCCCATCTACCCTGGCCACAGCATGATTTTTGCCTGCAATGATTACAAGGTGTTCAGATTTTGTGAATCTAAATGTCATAAAAACTTTAAAAAGAAGCGCAATCCTCGCAAAGTTAGGTGGACCAAAGTATTCCAGAAAGCAGCTGGTAAAGAGCTTACAGTGGATAATTCATTTGAATTTGAAAAGCATAGAAATGAACCTATCAAATACCAGCACAAGTTATGGAATAAAACTACTGATGCAATGAAGAGGGTTGAAGAGATCAAACAGAAACGCCAAGCTAAATTTATAATGAACAGATTGAAGAAAAAGAGCTACAGAAAGTTCAGGATATCAAAGAAGTCAAGCAAAACATCCATCTTATCTGAGCCCCTCTTGCAGAAAAAGGGAAGCAGTTGGAAGATAAAATGGTACAGCAGTTGCAAGAGGATGTGGACATGGAAGATGCTTCTTAAAAACCTCTATAGCCATTTCTTTTATGTACATTTGAAAATGCCCTTTGGACACTTGGAACTGCTAAATTATTATTTATTTTTTACATAAGGTCACTTAAATGAAAAGTGATTAAAATATATCTTTCCTACATTGCCATCTACAAAACATCAGATATTACGGATGTTAGATTGCATCTCAGTGTTAAATCTTCACTGACAGATGTACCTATGTAAATCATGAAAATTCTGCTTATAACTAAAGAAGTGAATTGTGGATGTAAAATGGCTATGCCATTTGGATAACGGCACAAGGCAGCATTTGTATAATAACTAATGGCAAAAATTAATGGCTTGTGATGTATAAAATTAAATATTTCTTTGCAGTAAAATATTCCCTTTATTAATGTTACAGAAGGGGGGATATAACAAGAAACTAAAAATTTGTATGACAGTGTCAAATATTATTTAGATTTTAGTATTTCCTGTTTTGGATTATTTGCATCTTGGAAGAGCATAATGATATTGTTTGATGAAGCCTAATTATGTTGGACAGTTTTGACCTGGTTTAGCCCTTCTGATAGGTAGTTTTGGATGTTGGGGATGAGAACTGAATAATCTTTGCCTGGAGTGACACTACACTCTAGAAATTCCACTTTGGATAACACTTAGTTCCAACTTGTGATTTCTGATAGAAGAAACTTTATTTTTCTAGCCTCCCAATGATCTAGAAGCAGAGAAATCCCAGTGCCTTTTAAAAGTTATGTGGTTTTCTTTTAAAAAACCTCCTGTTTTTGGAAAGTAGAATTTATGGGTACAATATCTGTTCATTATTTGTACATAAAACCATTTAAAAAGTTAAAAAAAAAAAAAAAAAGACTGAGTTCAAGATGAGCTGATCAAGAGGAAATAACTAAATCTAAGAACAAGAGGAGGGGCTAGGCTCAGTGGCTCATGCCTGTAATCCCAGCACTTTCGGAGGCTAAGGCAGGAGGATTACTTGAGGTCAGGGGTTTGAGACCAACCTGGCCAACACAGCAAGATCACCTGCCTCTACAAAATATTAGCCAGGTGTGGTGGCACGCACCTGTAGTCCCAGGTACTTAGGAGGCTGTGGCAGGAGGATGACTTGAACCCAGGAATTTGAGGCTGCAGTGAACTATGATGGTGCCACTGTACTCTAGCCTGGGGGACAGAGCAAGACTCCGTCTGAAAAAAAATAAAAATAAAAATAAAAAACAAGAAAGACAGAAGATGNAAAAAAAAAAAAAAAAAAAAAAAAAAAAAAAAAAAAAAAAAAAAAAAAAAAAAAAAAAAAAAAAAAAAAAAAAAAAAAAAAAAAAAACTACAGGTGTAAAAGTTAACCTTAGAAAAGAAGATGCTATTTTTTTCTTCTAAGTCTGGAAGAAAAGATGAAAAGCTAAACATAGAAATGGAGAAGAGAAGCAGATGAGTGTATCATATGCCCTTGACTCAGGAGTCAAAGTCATCTTTGTTTTAGCAAGGGGAAGGATGAAGGAGTAACAGGGGCACTGGAGGCTAGGTGTGGGAAAGGAATTTGGAAAGTCAATTTGCAAGTGTCCTATGTATGCTTAAAAGTATATATATATAATTTTTTTTTTTGAGACAGAGTCTCGCTCTGTCACCAGGCTGGAGTGCAGTGGCACTATCTCGGCTCACTACAACCTCCACCTCCCCACTTCAAGCAATTACCCTGCCTCAGTCTCCCGAGTAGCTGGTATTACAGGCTCATGCCACCACATGCAGCTAATTTTTGTTATTTGTTTCACCATGTTGGCCTGATGGTCTTGATCTCTTGACCTTGATCTGCCCACCTCAGCCTTCCAAAGTGCTGGGATTACAGGTGTGAGCCACCACGCCCGGCCAAAAAGTATGTATATTTTTTAACTCAGTGTTTTAAAGAAAAAGGGGATCAATCCATTAGTGGGTCATCATGCTAATTTCATATAAAGAGAGCAGCATTGGTTGGGCGCAGTGGCTCATGGCTGTAATCCTAGCACTTTGGGAGGCTGAGGCGGGTGGATTGCCTGAGTTCAGGAGTTCAAGACCAGCCTGGGCAACATGTTGAAACCCCGTCTCTACTAAAACACAAAAAATTAGTCGGGCATGGCAGCATATGCCTATAATCCCAGCTACTTGGGAGGCAAAGGCAGGAGAATTGCTAGAACCTGGGAGGCAGAGGTGGCAGTGTGTATAGATTGCACCACTAAAAAACAAAAAAAGAGAAAGAGCAAAATTCTGGCTCTAAAAAAAAAAAAAAAAAAGAGATCAGCATTAATAGCACTAAAACAGAATAGAAAACAGAAAAACCACAGTGTAAGGAGAAATATTTCATAAAACTTTTGTTTTTGGTACAACCTTGTGAATTATTTTGTTCAACTCCTCTACATACTTGCTCATTTTTCTGACTGCTTCACCTGTTAGTTTTTGAGGGAGGTCTTACTTTTCAAAATCTCATGCTTTATTTTCTTTCTCTTTATTTTTATGTTATATCTTTCAGGATTATTATAGCTTCCTGGTGAACTGCTCTGCTCATCAGGATGTAATAACCAGTCTTATTTCAAATAACACTTTTTGCCCTAAAGTCTAGTTGGTATAACATTAATATTGTGAACGAAACCCATTAGGCATGAAAAAGGGATAAAAATGGATATTGCTAACTACCTGTCCAACTCCCACAGCCTTAGGAATAAAGTCCAAATTCCTTGGAGAGGCTTGTGAGACCCTGCATGGGCTAGTCCTGTACATCCCCCTCCAGCACATCCCCCCCCAGCAACCTGGCCTTAAGTCATCCTGAGGCACGTGCAGCCTGGGCCTGGAATGCAACTCCCCACCCACTTCTGCCTGCCCTTCATTCCAGACGTAGAACAAGGGTCAGTGCTCTTCCCAGACACATTCCCCACTCCACCCACCCAGCAGAGCTGACCAGACTCTCTTGTGTGGCTGCCCTGAGCCCTGCGCATATTCCCATCATGGCACCTTACTTTGGTTTAGTGCACGTTATCAGTGGCTTGCCTGTCCCCTTGACTGAACAGGAACTCATTCAGGAAGAGGAAGTTGACTGACATCTAGTCTCCTCGAACTTATGTTTTCAGTGCATGGTACACAAAAGGCTACAAAATGAATGGGTAAACATATGACGTGGAAAGGGAAGGCAAGCTGAAATCAGGTAATTTGCACAGAATCACACTGGAAGGATTTACTACTCAAAGTGGTAAAAGTTAAAATCATCACAGAACCACTGTGGAAGGATTTACTACTGAAGGTAACAAAAGTCAAGTCATCTCATCTGGTCTATTTGAGACAAAGACTGGCAGAGGTAAAGTAACTGCCCAACACTGCGCAGCTTGTTAACATCAGAATACTTTCTCACTCTCAGGCCACAGCTCTTTCTAATGCCATAAGTTTCCCTACCAGGTTCTCTCTGGTGTCATCCTCTCATATTTGTATGGGGCTTTCAGCTCACCAGCATCATCCCAGGTACTCTAAAATGCCTTTTTTTCTTGCCAAGTCCTGTTGGTTGTATCTCCTCAATAACTGATGAATCTTTCACTTCTTTTGACTCCTACTGCCACTATCCTTGTCCAGGTCCTTCACCATCTGGATCATTTACCATCTGGCTAGGCGCGGCAGCTCATGCCTGTAATCCCAGCATTTGGGGAGGCCGAGGCGAGTGGATCACGAGGTCAGGAGTTCAAGACCAGCCTGCCAAGATGGTGATACCCCATCTCTACTAAAAATACAAAAAAAAAATTAGACGGGCATGGTGGCAGAAGCCTGTAATCCCAGCTACTTGGGAGGCTAAGGCAGACAACCGTTTGAACCCCAGGAGGCAGAGGTTGCAGTGGGCAGAGATCGCACCACTGAATTCCAGCCTGGGCAACACAGCAAGTCTTTGTCTCAAAAAGAAAAAAAATTACAATTAAAAAAAATTTTTTTAATAAAAAGCTGTTGTTGGGATGGGTGCAGTGGCTATGCTTGTAATCCCAGCACCATGGGAGGCCGAGGAAGGTGGATCACCTGAGGTCAGGAGTTCAAGACCAGCCTGGCCAACATGGGGGAAACCCTGTCTTTACTAAAAATGCAAAAATTAGCTGGGCGTGGTGGCGGGCACCTGTAATCTCAGCTACTTGGGAGGCCGAAGCAGGAGAATCGTTTGAACCTGGGAGGCAGAAGTTGCAGAGAGCCAAGATCTCCCTAATGTACTCCAGCCTGGGCAACAGAGTGAGACTCCGTCTCAAAAAAAATAACGGCTGGACTTGGTGGCTCACGCCTGTAATCCTAGCACTTGGGAGGTTGAAGTGGATGGATCACCTGAGGTCAGGAGTTTGAGACCAGCCTGGCCAACATGGTGGAACCCCGTCTCTATTAAAAATACAAAAATAGGCCAGGCACAGTGGCTCATGCCTATAATCCCTGAACTTTGGGAGGCCAAGGCAGACGGATCATGAGGTCAGGAGTTCAAGACCAGCTTGGCCAACATGGTGAAACCCCATCTCTACTAAAAATACGAAAATTAGCCAGGCACTTCGCGGGTGCCTATAGTCCCAGCTACTTGGGAGGCTGAAGCAGAATTGCTTGAACCCGGGAGGC